CGCATGCCAGGAACTTCATGGGCAATAAGCCAGGACTTCTCTTGATGGCTATGTTCCCGAACTATGGAAAGGCACGTTTCGAGATTGCGTTCGTGTATCCATCCGTGGACGGGTCATACAATGAGCGCAAGGCAAGGGGAGACATTGTTCCAAGAAATCGATGGATCGACAATCTCAACTCCAGATCCGCATACGATGCACTCCGGCCTAATGGCAAGGAATTCCTCAATGATCCCGACATGGAGTTGTACGTGAGATGCAACAGCGGTCATACACGACAAGTCGATCTCCAATCTTTTGGACGACCCCTGTACTCCGAGCAGAAGAGTGAGCCTCGCCAAGAGGAACCGGACTATGACCTTCCAACGGAATCCATTCCTCCAAGTCCGCATCCGTCAAGATCAGACGCGCCCCATGAAGACGAAGGCACAGCTCAGGCAAAGTCCAGAATGCGAAGGCCGGCGCCTCAATCCATTGAAGAAGAGAGAAAGATCAAGCCGTTCGCGAAGAAGCCCATCACTTTCATGTTCCATGCTACATATGGAGAAAACCTGATCAACATCATGGAGCACTGGCTGAAATCTGGGAGATCCCAGTCGAACCCTTCGGGGAGAGTGCACATCCACATGGCATGCATCACGAAGCGTCAGAAGCCGCATTGACACATGTGCCAACAGGAAGAGATGCTTTGTTGATCCTGGCATTCCTCAAGGACCAGGACTACGACATCCGACTCTCCGAAGAGCGAGCAGCATTGACAGATCAAACCATCGAGGCGAGGAATTGTTACAGCGTTTGATTCCGAGGGAACCATCATAATGAGTAACAGTTGGACTATGAAGAAAAATCTCGGTCGTGAAGACATTGAGATGTACAACAGCAAGATCCAAGAGTTCGCCGATGCCTTCTTCAAACATGTGAAAAATGACCACCAAAACAAGGAAAGGTCTGAAAAAGATACATCCACAGAGGCCAAGAAGCGACGGCGCTCCACCGATCAGGACGAGGTTGAAGAGGAGAACATGGAACCCTCCGGGGAGAGATCCGTCAAGCCAAAGGTCACCATGGAGTATCCAAATCCTGAGAACCTAGACGAGTTCATCCAGGAACTCAAGGAGATCTACCTCAAAATGGAAATGAGCAAGAAGGACGCCGAGGAAGAGCTTGTGGAGACCAAAAAGAACTTCCTCCATTTCATGGAGAAGTACAACAAGGATCCCAGAACAGCTCATCCTAAATTGACAGAATGCGAAAGAGCCTCATTGGCACACGTCGATCCCGATGTCAACCTCGAAGAAGAAGAGTTCTATTTCCGCCATCGAGGAGAATGTCCCACCATGGACGAGTACCGGAAGGCACAGCCAGTATCAGGATATCCGATTAAGCTTCCCACTGGGATTGAAGAAGCTTAGATCACATGACAACCCAGAAGTCGTTCGAGCATTTGCCGACATCCTGGGATCGCTGATGCAGCCGACCGACCGTCCCTCTGTGGACCATCTCAAGACGCACGAGTTCACCTCATCCCTGACGATCAACATGCTTACTATGAACCATGGAAACCTCACTAGGAATCGAAAGCTGGACGGCAGGGAGGTGTACAACATGGCGATGAAGGACCGACCAATCGTGAAGATGATGATGCAGAACAGCGCACACATCTTATGCCTCAATGAAGCAGACGCATTCCTCAGTCCTCAAGATGATAAATCCAGAGAACTCATCAAGACGTTCATCCGATTCGGGTACAAGGGCATCGTTATCAAGCAATGGTCATCCAGACCAATTGCATGCTTTGTCCGCGGCGGACCTTCCGCACGAGTGGAACAATTGGCAAGACACATTTCCACAGAGTCAGAATTGGGGAACCACATTCGGGATGTTCAGATGTTTTTTCGGAGCCGAGGAAAGTTGCACTGATCCTGAATACGACATTCCGACCTCGGACTGCTTGGCAACTACGGAACCATCCATGTTTACTGAATCCAAGAAGTACATCGGACCGAGATTTCCACCACGCACCACTGTCCAAGGACACGGACGTAGCAAAGAGATTGTCGTTCTCCACATCGAGCAGAGTGACGAGTATCGTGGTATGCCCCAAAATCATCCAACAAATCACTCCTCGAGTTTGACAGCCGCCACGTAACGAGGGCAGACCTCCCGTTTGCTACCATTGGAGTTTTCCACATTCATCCATCAATCAGCCATGGAGCAGCACGGGAAGATCTTCAGAACGAAATCCTGCCACTCGTGACATTGTACCAATGTGATGCGATCACTGGAGACGCCAACAAATCCGCGAATACCTACAGCAGACTCCAGCACGTCTTCAATCCGGCCAAAGGTCTCATGAATATCCCCATGAAGGAATATCAGAGATTGTGGAATGAAACGGAGAATCTGCCACTCGTGGACAGAATTGGATCAGGGTATGACCGAACATTCCCAGATGTGATGATGACATTCGTGTTTGGGTGGGGCAAAACGAATATCCAGCAGGTTTTCCGGAAGGAAGAGATGAACGCCATGAGAGATGAACAACTGGAAGCCATGCGGAACGATCCAACGTCTGCCATTTTCGACTATCAGGTCTCATCCGCGGAACGCTTCAAGCACGTGAACAACGATATGTTCATGAATGGCTCACAAGATTCCGACTCGCACAGTCCGCTGATGGTCTACATCCGCAGCAGATCTGCCGCCAGGCAACGCAACTTTGAGAGATCCAAGGAGCACCTCAAGAAGAAGCAATCTTGGACTCAGCAAGAGTACAAAGAGTACAACAAGCAGTGCTGGAGCAATCCAATGCAATGGAAAGACTATGGCGACTCGACCTGGAATGATTATGGAGACTATGGCAGTCAATCCGACAGCAGCCGCCGGTGTTACCGCTGATCACTTGATGAAGCAGCCACCTTTGGCACTTATTCGACCGACTGAGAAGACTCCCACGATCGACACTACGAACTACAACCAGATTGATCCTCACCGCCAACAAGACTATTCAGTGAGAGATCAATAGTTTCAGATCCGTCCCGCATGTACATAGCGTTGTGCATCACCTTTTCGACACATCTAGGTATCTCACAGAATCAGTACAGACTGTTTACCATTTTGCTCACAAGACAACCCAAATTGGATGAATCATTGTAACAATACATGGCTACGGCACTTTCAAATATGGCTACGGCACGTAAGGCCAAGAAGCCAATCATACACTTTGGTGTGAAAGGTCAAAAGAAATTTGTGTCTGTTTTGTGTTGGTTTTTGTTGCACATTGACCTATTCACACACTCCGCTGACACGATGGCCCAAGGCCCTTCAAGTCATTTGTACAGTCATTCGACTCATGGTACATTGATAAAAAGGCTTGCAGACCGCTTTACAGGATTCACAGTCAACACAAGCCACCAGGGACAATCCATCCTCCAATCCTCCATATTGGCATATTGGACTCTCTCCGGAATAGATGCAGGGACCAAATCAACGACCTCTACTACCACAGGGTACCAGTTCCTTTCTGGGATAGGCACCCCGGCAGTGGGCCCCCCCCCCGCGCCCCGCTGAAGCGTAGACAAGCGAAGCGCAAGCGCAGCATAAGCAAACACGCGCGATCTCACTTACTTACGTGCGCTTGTGCTTAAGCTTAAGACAACCGAAGCGCAAGCGCAGCAAGCACGCGTGATCTCGCTTACTTGCTTGCGCTTGTGCTTGTAGAGACAGACACGCAGGGGGTCTTCGCGGACACGAAGACCGACAGACCCAGACAGACACAAAGAGACACAGACAGACACGCAGCGGCAGGGGGGGTCTTCGCAGACACGAAGACAGACGCAGATACGTAGACAGACATAGACAGTCACAGGGGGGGGGGGGGCGGAGGGGTGGGGGAAGACGACCCGAAGCCTAAGGCAAGTCCTAACGCGCGTTGTTTGGTCCCGAAACATTATTGGAAGACTAGGAGAAGAACCAGGAAGATTATGGAAGACTACGGGAAGAAGCCGAAAGACTACGGAAGATTATGGGAAGAAGCCGGAAGACTCGGAAGACTACGGGAAGAAGCCGGAAGACTACGGAAGATTACGGGAAGAAACCGGAAGACTACGGAAGATTACGGAAGACTACGGGAAGAAGCCGGAAGACTACGGAAGACCACGGAAGACTACGGAAGATTACGGGAAGAAACCGGAAGACTACGGAAGATTACGGAAGACTACGGGAAGAAGCCGGAAGACTACGGAAGACCACGGAAGACTACGGAAGATTACGGGAAGAAACCGGAAGACTACGGAAGATTACGGAAGACTACGGGAAGAAGCCGGAAGACTACGGAAGACCACGGAAGCACGGAAGACTACGGGACCGGGGGGGGGGGGGTGAAGTCAGTTTAGACGAGGCAAAAATCCGCGCCAAGGAGCAATCTACAACACAGCACTAAAACACAAACAAGACTACACATACAGAACATCCACAAGACACGCCGGCAGCGCCGGCGGATTCGACCTGAGAACAAAGACCTTGACTCCCCCGTCCGGACTGCTGATTTTGCTTGAGGCCTGGAGAGCTTGTCTCCGGTCCATTCCTAAACCCATCCGGCAAGGCGTTGACGGGTGGTTTGAGAGGTTGTGACACGGATGTTGCCAAACAGTGGTCAACAGTTGTATACTAAGGATGTTTAAGTGTGGTTGCGCATCTCAATACGAAGCTTGGCTTTGGTGATGTGGAGCTTCGCTTGTTTGGTGATTTGGCGGTTTGAGGCTGGGCAGTTTGGCGGTTTGGCTTTCTTCTTACAGTAAGTTTGAGCAACGGAGCCCACCGAGCGACAGCTCATTGTTCGAGGCCAATGACGAGAGCAATGTGGCAGAGGGGAAGCCCTCATTGCAGTGTTGAGCAGCGTGTGCCGCATGACCATCGCAGCATGCCATGCTTACTCCATCGCACCTGTTGCCAGATACTGAGATGGTTTTTCACTGAGATGTTCGTGCGCCGGGCGCTAGGCAAACCTCGCATCCAGATGTTTTCGCCTGCGGCCGCCCTGGCACTCTTATTACTAGATTGCACAGCCGCGCCACCGCTGAACACGGTGAAGAAGGACTTTGTTTCCGAAGCATCGACATGTGAGGCATGTAAGGGAAGAATATGGCTGGACCAACCACAGACCTTCCGGCATCACCAGATGTCTCCATGAGCGGTCGCCAGGTGACATTGCCACCTATCCCTCCCGCTATGGAGGCACCACACGCAGTGAGAATGCGTGGCGCTCAGATTTAGGATCTCAAAGAGCGTCCTTGCATTCCAGAAGCCACACATGCGCATGTTTTGCCAACATAGGGGGGCCACAAAAAGCAAACTTGCTGGTTCTCAGCAGGGAATGGGGGAATGACCCCCACAAACCATCCCTTGTGGTTTCCTTTAAGGGAGTCCCTCGGTTCATTCCAACAACACTCTGGGTCGTTCCCTAGTGAGCGCCTGAGAAGCTGGAGGTGGACCATGCCAGGAAGTCCGCGGCCCAAGCGGTGAAGGCCGCCATGGGCTTGAAACCAGAGCCCTACAGGCGGGGCACTCCTGGTTGGGGAACCCGTTTTGGTCAGGGGCAAAGGAACACCGCCATTTTAGGGGTCACCCAATTTGGACACATACCCCAGGTGGTGTGAGCCTAGACCAAAGTGCAACTTGTTTTTGGAGCCCCTTCGTTTTTGGGGTGTTGTTTTTGTCGAACCAAAAAGCAACCCGAAGCCACTTGGGGGAGTCCCCTAGTATAGCACACACACACAGCTTGCCCTGCAGATTAACAGAAGGAGCCCAAGAACCACCTTTCTTAGAGGAATCCGCTGGGATGGGACCCTCCGAAATTAGGGTTCCATGCAAACAAATACAGGGAGTGGTTGATCTCTTGCGCTCTTTGACTTGCAACCTTGCCCCGGACAGATGTCCAGTATGGTTCTTTGACTCTTTGGTTTTCCCTCTTTCAACAAAGAACAACATGTCACTTGAAAGTGTCTACAGCCTAACGAAGGGCTGGACGTTTGGAGTGCAGAAATGCTGGCAACCCGGAGGGGCTCCACAACCAAACAAACAGGACCATGAACAAACCTTTGTACAGGCTGCCTTTCTGCTTGTTTGCTGTTCAACCTTGCCCACTTTTTGCAGGAATCCGTCATGTCTGCACACCAGGAGCACCCAGGAAAACCTCTAGAATGTTGCTCATTCCGCCCGCCAGTTATTTGCCCTATTTCTACACGCGCATCTTCGAGTACACCGACGCACCCATCGTCTTCAACTTCTTTGGCGATTTGCCATCCCCCGCATGGCTTGGAGAGTTGGGTTCGGGCAAAGTTGGTTGATAAGTGGACCATGGGTTTCTTAGGCAAGCAAAAAGGAGGTTGTGTAGGCAGTTAGTGGCTTCAAACATGTTTGAAAGGCTCGGCGTAACCTTGCAAGCCGAATTCTCGCTCTGGCCATCGGCCATTCCTCTGATATGCACACTCACTCATTAAATTGCCATGCTAGCTTGTCTGATGGTTTCTTCCCGTGTCTTTGCAAAGGACGAGTGACATGTGAGCAAGCAAACATTTTCCGGGGAAGACATAGTGGCCTGGCATTTGTGCCCACGCTTGGGGGGAAGCGTCTACATATCCGGGAATGGAACTTTAGCTGCGCTGCAGTTGATCCCGGAGCTGCAAAACTGTTCCATTGGGCCGATGCCACAACGCATTGAGTGTCTAGCATGCAGAGTCTTGATCCTAGCCCTAAGTCAGCGTGAGTATTTATGAGCCTCCCTAAGCATGTCAGCCGTCAGCATTTTCCGGCGTGCTCCCCTGCAGACGAGCAACATGGAACCAAGAAAAGGGCCCAGTTCCAAAGCCTCCGACAACATGGGTGTTTTGGGTTTCATGTCAATCCGTAAAACATACTCACCATGTGTACTTCCCTTCACCGTAAAACATACTCACCACCATTGACAGGGAGGTTGCCAGAAGAGGTTTCCTTGGAACCCTTGTCTGAATTCCTGTTCAAGTTCAGGATTATTTTGCTTGAGCTGTAAATACAAAGCATGCAGATTGAAACCTGAAGCTTCCAAGATGCATTTCTGGTCATTTTCTCTGAGTTTGGTTGCCCTTGCTGAGTGCCGAGTGCTGCGCGTCCGGCGCAGCTCCTTTGGCTGGCAGTCTAAAACATTCTCAAGAGACACAAGCTGATACATTGCCATTTCTCCGTGGCATATGAAGAAACCAATCCTCTTGAAAAGGCCCAAAACACAATTTCTCGGAAAGTGGGTGCGCCAATGGGAGCCGTGGTTTTCCTGCACGCCTTTACAGGCTCTTGACCTTGCCCCCCAAGGAACACGAGACAAGGCTGGGACATGTTTAATGTCAACCAAACGAACCGTTCTTTGTTTGAACCTCCATGCTATCTGAAGTTGTTCTTTCAAACCCCCTTCTTTGTCAAGTTGTTCTTTGGGACCCCCTTCTTTGTCAAGTTGGTCTTTGGGACCCCCTTCTTTGTCAAGTAGTTCTTTGGGACCCCCTTCTTTGTCAAGTTGTTCTTTGGGATCCCCATTCTCTGCTATCTTTTGAATTGTGAGCCCAACAAAACAGATTGGGGGTCAATACGCAAAGGGTGTTTCTTCCTGTGTTGATAGGCAGAGAGAATCAGAGAGAAGTGCTTCTTGCTTTGGGTTTCAAGTTGTCCAATTTTCCCACCAAGAGATGGGATTAAACCTTACGCGTGCTTGTTTGAGTTTCAACACGGGTAATAGTCTATGTCCGTGCTCCGGATTCATTAGTGCTCGGGCGACAGGGTGACACGATGAGAGCAGATTCGTACCAATGAATGTGTGCCTTTTTGAGGAAACTTGTTTGGGGGTGGTTTGAAGGGAAAGCTAAGGAGAATCCACCAGTTTTGGCGTCCATATTTGACATAGACCCAAATGGCCTGCTTGTGGTGGAAGGAGCCACGCTTGGAAATCCGGGCCTCAGATATTCGCCATGCCCTGTTCAGTTCTGATACGTCAAGGCTTGTACATGTATCAGCGGATGCTCCTACAAGCACAACGAGCTTTGATTGTTAATTGATGGGAAGACGAGGTGTTCAAGCACGGACACTCGACTGAACGAACCAAACAAAGCAATGCCTTGAATTTGGACCTGAAATAGAATCGCCTGAGGGATCAAGAATCAGAATCGAGATGGCTTTCAAGTTAGCTTGTTAATCTTGTTGATCAGAAACAAGTGCGCCATGTCACTTTGTCATTGCTGTTTCGCCTTCAGTTGGACATGCCTCAAGCGTCAATGGCCTCGACCGAGCCAGGGCGAGCACGCTGCAAACAGAGCCGTAAAAGGTGCTTGCGCTTTGCCGTGGTGCGAGCTGAGTTAGCTATTCATGACATTTGCATGCAGAAGCACATCCATCTGAATCACCATGTTGTTGTTGGTAAATTTAGAGGAAGCTTGGCAATCTTGGGACGCAGTATTATGAGGGGAACGGCCTTCAAAATGTTGGGCAGACATGAATCCCCGTACGTGTTTCTCTCTGAGTAGGGAACCCTCAAAATCGGGCGGTTTTGCTTTGGTTTTCACTTAAACCAAGCCCACAAAAGGGCCACCCCCTGATGTCCACCTCACACCCCTGACGGCATTGGCGATCTTGATAGCTGGCTCCGGCTCAGGCTGTACGGCAAGAGCTGCTGTGGGCTGAACGGCCTGCATAGAATGAGTCCCTAGAGATCGGGAAGTTTGATTGAGTTCCTCTTTGGACATGGGCAAAGCCCTCAGTCTTTGGTCAACCCTCTTTCTGAGCCAAAACCATCCATGCAGCCAAGACACTCTTGAAGAGAGCGGTCGAGCCGAGCCCGCGCCATGGATCCCGGACAAAGGCAAGCCGCCTTCGCATATTTTCTGGATGCCTCATGGCAGATCTTCCGCAGTCAGATGCTGGAGGCGCGTTTCTTTTGGTCTCGGAAACGAGCTTCTACGGGGTAAGTACACAAACATGAAATAGAATGTGAACATATGGCCGTGGGTCAACACCAATGGTACCATGTTGGCGTAGGTGCACCACGCATTTTAGTCTATTTTAGTTGGGATGGGGATGTTTACTGGGGGTACAAAATTCTCACCCATAGCCATATCATTTTCTGTGTACTCCTTTTCTTTGATGGAGCCTCTTTCCAACAATCACGAAAGTGGACGATCGGAGGGGTTTGGAAATCTACCATCCTCTTGAAAAGCCGTATCCGCTTTCATGATTGGAAACTGGGTAGTCTGTTGTTAGGTTGAGGAGGCCTTGGGGCCAAAAGCCACAAGGTGCACCCACTGAATGTCTCGGGGAAACAAGTACTCTGTCCGGGTCTCATATGGATATTCTGCACTACGTCGATGCGCATAGTGTGACGCCCAGACCCTTGATTGGTTTCAGTCAAGTTGTCGTGCCAGCACTATCTTTCTGGGTCCCTGGACCCTCCTTTGAAGGTTTCGTGTTCTTTGGGCTTTCTTTTCAATCCTTTGCGCATCCAAACCTTCCCATCCACAACCTTTCCAAAGCCATCCTGTTAATCTCCAATTATCCCCCAGTTGACCTCCAGCCTGCGAGTCTCCCCCAGTTCAGCCCGAGCAACCTTTCCAAACTTTTTAAACCTTGCCAAGCCTTGCCAAACCTCTCCAACTCTTCCAAAACCTTGGGACAGTTCGAAATATTTCCGCACATGTCCAAACCTGTCCAAACCGTTCTAATCCCTTCCAAGCTTTGCCAAACCTTTCCAAACCATTTCAAAGCCTTTCCAAACCATTCTCACACATTTCCAAACTTTTCCACGCCGTACCAACCCATCCCAAAAACTGGCCCCTCAATGTTGGGCCTTCCTTTCGCCGGACGCGGTGACGCCGTGAGAGGCTTACACGGAGACGGTGCGCATGGAGACGGCGGACCCGCTGCGTGCACGGCTCAAGTCCATGGAGCAGCAGTTCACCCGACGAGCCTCGCCTTTTTCGCTCGGAAGCCTCCGTGTACTCAACTGGGTCCCCCAGCAATTGGTGCCCTTTTACCGTTTCTTTTTTGGGGGAGGGTCTCCTACTAGAACAGACTACGGAAAAAAAGGGTACCCTTATTCGAACCTCTCTACTGGAGGACCTAGTCAACTTCCCTCGTTTGGTGGTGAGTCCGATGGTTTGATGGGACGGGGGGGGTGTCCCATTTACCCTCAAGAACCAGGGGTTCAAATCCACCAATCCAACCCACCAATTTGGGGTTACCTGACAATGCCGTTGTTCCTTTTTATGTTGGGTTAACCCCTGAATTGCGTTTCCTCAGAGTGAACATTTTGAGGAAGACGTCCAAATCACTTTTGGAGGGGGGCTACTTCAGC